GTAGGATACAGAGAAAGACAGTGGATTTTCATACGGACAGGGGTTTTAAAAGCCAGTAGTGTAAAGATAGCATCATAGCTGACTCCCAAAGCTGTCATATCTTATGATGATCTTAAGATCTACCATAATCTTAAACACCCAATTTTATGTTAACGCCCCCAAAATCTACCTGATTCAAGACAATAATATACCGCCTGTCAATCATTAAAAAAACAATAGCTTCTGATTTGATTGACAGGCCAGCTACCCGTGCTTCCTGATAGTCTGAGTTTGTGTCCTTTGAAAACGATTGCCTGGTCACGCGTCAAACACTTTCATGTAGCCGCTTTGTATATACGGGGGTTAAAAAAAGAATCTTGGTAAAATTGTATTTTAAAAACAATTGAGAGTAGATAATCAAAACACGACTTCATAAAATATTTGCTTTTAATCTCAACGGCTATATTGTATTTTAGGCGATATGTCGTCCAAGATATCTGCTCTGTAGAATTGAGACCGAAACGCTAATTGCCGATTAAAATTGAAATATAAATAAGAAAAGATATTTAGCACAAACGGCACGGATAAAAATTCATCAATTCCATGTTTTATCTACTTATATATGAATACAATCTAATATACCATGCTCGATTGTAAAGTTCTGAAATGTCAGAAACAGCTAGGAGTTTCGAGATTGTAACTTTTAGTTCGAATTTCCTAACATCTGTCAATACCCAATATTCGAAATTAAAAAGAGAATATATACAGCCAAAGATCAATTCCTAAAAGTATAAAAGAAATCTTGCAAACAATAAAACAAAATTTTTAAACACACGAACACCCGGAAATGGTGAATATTTTCGACACTATTGTTGATCAGAACGTAGGCAATATTCCTATCGCGGTAGGGTACAATGTATATGTTCACACGACGGATAGGCCTACCTATGAATGGAATATTTTATTTTTTTTTTAAATTTTGATATTTACACAAGTTTAATTAAAAAATTAAGATATATTTACTTTGTATTTTTACTCTGTGTTCTTTTCTTTAGTTTGTCATTTTTTTAAAATATAAAAATATTTCTTTATATAATTTTTTTCTTCATTAGATATCGCTGAAAGTATTTATAAACAAATATTTTCTTGAAATATTTCAAATATTTCAAGTAGTTTCACTCAAATAAAAACACGAAACACGGAATGTTGACCCTGATCACCAGACACAGACTTCCTGTGTACTGCTACGTGTATATAGATTTTTGACAACTTGGGTATTGGGGGTCTCCAGGTAAATAACACCACTGTTCCTTGGGCCACTCCCCCTCTTCAGGTAACCGTACGGTAAAAAAATTGGGTCTTTAAGACTTGATACATGTTTTAAGTCTAAAGTGAAACTTGCGACAGTATATTTTTTGACTAAAAACCGAAGGATATTTAAAGAAAACATTTTTTTTTGTGATAGAACAATCCTTTGAACTATATCTGTATATAACTTGAATTTAATTGTTTAATTTGAATTCAATACCCCACATGAACACAACGACATCTATGAACACATATTGCTTACTTATGCAATTTTGAAAATGGCTAACGAAATTCAAGATACATGTAGTTTATATCTTGAAAGTATAAGTAAATATTTCCATTTCTAATTTTTTGCCAGGGGCATACTACACTAAAAAAAACAGTGATTCCTTACATATATATTTTGTAGAAATAGAAAAGACGAAATATCTGCATTTTTTTTAGATGGAATAAGTCGATGAAAGTTAAAAAAAAACCCGAACTTCTGCGTAGCTACCCTGCATTTATATTTTACTTTATTTTGTTACATTGTGGTGATTTTCATGCCCCGGATCAAGAGATCCTAGGGAAATATTATACAATTATGGACTCTTTTGGTGTTGAATGTGGTTTGTTATTCACCAGAAAAATATTCATATTGACCGAGGCGAAGCCAATAACTATTGCGCTGTCAAGGGTAAATGTATACCACTTCAGTCTACGCCCCACTCCAGAATTGTGTAGATGTTGCCATTGGCGACAAAGTGTTTCACAAACTCTTTTTTATTTTTAATGAAAGTAAACATTCCATTCAGTCGTACAAAATTAGATAAAAATGAAATAGTTTAAATTCTTGAATTGTGATCTATCATTAATCCACTGGAATGTACATGTCTACTGTATAAAAATATGCTTTAACATTTGATGCTGTATGTACCTGTTATCTTCATGCTTTCTTAATAGAAATGACAAACTTTGAACACACGATTTGGTGTTTCAAAAGGATTCATTGTTAAAATCTTTCATTATTTGCAAAGGTTCACATAAACTAGTAGCTTTAAAGTACCGGTATCTATTGCAATTCGTCAATAACAACTATTTTCTGAACAAAAAAGACATTTAAGCAAATTTTATTTCATAATGTTTTGTGATAAAATGAATTCAAATAAATTAAGGGTTTATGACCCATCCCAACACATATACAAGGGACATTATAGTTCATCCAATAATTTTTTTCCGAGGGTGTATATACATGTTTCTGCAAAAGGAAATTTAAGAGACCCACTATCATTTCAATATTTCAAAAAATTAAAGAAAGACAACAAACATTAAAAAAAAACCCTGTGATATAGAAGAATAGAATTTGTCTTTTAGATTTCAAATTATCTTAAGATTTTTTATACTTACAACTTTTTCAAACCGTTTCTAAATTTCTAAAAACAGAAACCTTGACCCACATTAAGAAGCATAAAATGAAAATTGTTGCTTCGAATCGAAACAACTCCAAAAGGTAAGATAATTAAAGCATGTTTGTCTTTAAAAATGGGTAAGTGTAGGTAATTAAATAAAATTATTTTACATTTACCCTTTGAAACTATGTAATTTTGCAATATGACGAATCCTTGTAGAAGTTAGATTTGAGATTATTGATTTGAAAAATGCTTAATTTGATTAAAAGATAAAAGATAAAAGATCTTAAAACATGGAAAGTGGCCAAAGAGATGAAAAAAAAAAAATACTGCAATGTATTGTCATCTTTGCTGTGAGTATATCCAGGTCCTACCTTGTATTAATTGTAAATAATGTTTCACTTTTGTAAAACAGACAATAAATTAATTAAACAATTAATTTTCAAATGTATTTAGTTTTCTCTATACACAATATTACATTGAAACAACGTGACTTTAAATTGTGCAATAAAGTGACAGACATAATATAGTATTTACAAGGAATGGGTGGACTTAACTGGCCAGAAAAAAATGCCGAATCTTCTCGCTTCCATTATTACGACTTCGATTGACCTGTTAAATATTACAATTCATCACGTGATGTCCATCTGCGAGTGTACTCGTAGAAATAGTTACATTGTATTCTTCAACCTGACCTCGATGAAAATCACTATGTTTGCTTGCCGTTTTCAGAATTAAGCACATTAAATAATGTTTTAATTTTGTGTATCCTCTTATTAAAAAAATCATAATGACATCGCTGTAATATGCCAAACACGTATTCGAATTTCTAGAGAGAGAGATGGAGAGAGAGAAATGTCAACAATGACAACGATCGATAGCCCCGCCTCCTATTAATATTGATAGCGTGACCTAAAAACAACTCCGGGTACATGTTTAATTCCGGAAGACGACACGAATGTATCGTTAATTCAATTTTGATTCATGGCAACACGGCATTGCTTTTGTACATATGCTCTAGCTTAAATAATCATGTATACGTTGCTCTTCCTATTGCTTGTAATATATGTTGGATTCACTGTATTTTCAACTTGTTAGAGTAGTCGCAAAAAGATCCAAAATAGGGCGTTAAGTCCACACATTCTTTGTATGAACATTCTGAAAAGAAATGAGAAATGTATTTCTATTTTTATGTCAATTCGATATATCCCTGTGAGCTTGAAAAGAAAGATACCACAGAGTCTAACAAATCTCTTACTGGAAAAAGACGTTACTGGTTATCTAACAACAAGGCTTTATGATAAACGTGATGACTTAAACTTTTCAATCGACAACTTCCCTTACTTATGCAGCAGTAAACTTTTGTCACCTGCATACGGAGTATAGATTTCTTACAGAAGATCATGTTCTACGTATTAGCAATTCCTAAAACAAGGTAAATAATTGACAAGAATTTGATGAAGCAAGAATATTATCAGTCTCGTTCAAAGTCATCATGTTAGTCTACATGTATAGTCGATACAATGACATTGTCATCAAATGCTTACTGACGTTTTTATGCTGATTGTTAGGCCATTATTAACATGCTGATTTGTCCACGAATTTTCACGTTATTTCCCGATCATGACAAGGAGCACAGGGCGGGTGTGACAGGTCGAGAGGGGATGCTTTTACCATCATGGCACCTGATCACACTTCTTGTGATTTAGAAGTTTGTGTTTGCTCTTATTCTATTTTGTAATGTTTTATGGACTTATGAGCTCGAATACTGTTCGTTTTCTCGACATATTTCATTCAAATACTGTTATACTTCACTGTAATGACAAATAGTGAGTCATAAAATTGTATTTTTCGCAATTGCTGCAAACCTTAATTCACGAACCAAGAAACAAAAAAAAAAGAATTATGATTTTGTTCAAGCTCAAAAGTCCATTCAAACATTAAATTCAATCTACATGTTACCTAAGTCTGACGCGGTGCCTGGCATTTGGACATGCAGTTGAGAATGTCAATTATTATTACAATAATTTTGTTGATTGATTTTATATATCGTTTAACCTCCCTCTCGTTATTTTTTTATTCATATTGAGACGCCAACACTTGCCGGTGGAGAACTGCAAATTTTATTCTTATTCTATATTCGGCACTCAGGGCCATTAAGTGAGGGATCTTATTCGTGCTAGTACCTACTGCAACACCATCTATAATGGATCCAATAAACACAGCTCTGTGTCAATGTTTCAATCTCAGTTTAACATTATAAAATTTCAGTCACCTCGTCATTATATTTACATATTTTTAGGTAAACCGATACCTTGACTGATTTCAATGCAGGTATTCGATTTTCTTCATATGGTTTTTATAAGTTACATACCGACATTCTATATAACCAGTTAGAAACAGATTGTCATCTGTATCTGTACACAATCCATTCGGATGAAAATCTTTACAGTGTATGTAACGTAGGAATTGTCCATTCTCATTTATGATGTGAACACAGCAATTGGTTTCATCGCATGAAAGTATGTGACCCTGGCTGTCTGTAGTGATTCCTTTTGGATTGAATGGTTTACCTTTCGGAGCAAAAATATGTCCATTGTATCTGAATCTCATTTTACCGGCCTGATTAACCACCACTACTGCTTTAGCTCCACAGTCAGTCACACAGATATCCAGGTTCCTATCCTCGCATATGTATTTATCAGATCCAGTAGATGAGAATAGAGGATTACCTTCATCATCAAACTGTATGGATTGTATCTCTGTGGAGCCAGAGTATCGGGCTACCTTTGTTTGTTTGGATGGGTTCTTGTCATAACTTTCCATGATAATAAGCAGCTCACCAGAAAAAGTACTAAAGATACCCTGGGGTTTCCAGTTTTGTAATCTGATTAGCTCCTCTATATTTGTCTTTTCATTCTTCACAATGTTAACAGTTCTATCCTCATAATGAGTATAAATAAGATCTCCACTTGTTGACACTGTTATATCTGCTGGCTTGTTTCCGGAATTTGTTGTGATTGTCTTGAGTGGCACGATTCGACTAGGATATTGACTTGGTTGTCCTTCTTTGAGATGTTCTTCCACATTAAAGTCGTATAGTGCCATGGTGCTACTATCTCCACAAGTCCAGAACTTTTCATTTCTAAAACAGGCTACATTTTGAGGGAGGCCTGAAAATAAAATTCTTTTTACAGAAATTATTGGTTTCTCCAGTAGTTGTTTTACTGGTGGTCGGCATCTACTTTCTATTGTAGAAAAAGATTCAACTTTTGGCGATTTTTGTGCTGTTTTTATACTGTATGCATGTCCCTCTGATTTAAGAGAAATTGATGAAAGAGTACCAAACAGTTTACTAAGATAATCCCCTTGGATTGTCCCTGGATTAAATTTAGGTACAGATAAAACAAGCTTTTGCGGAAGTTTGTGATCTACCTTCGTTTTTACACTTAATGATTCTGAAATATCATAAGTGTCTGCAAAAATAACAAGTGAATCAATTTCCTCTCTAATGTCAGCAATTTTCTTGTTAATTTCATCGAGATGTTTCTGTAAAGTTTGTAACTGTGAGGTTTTCATCTCATGAGCTTTTGTTTTAAGCTTCGTGACAAGTTTGTCAATTTCCCTGTGCCAGTCCTCTCCATGTTTTGTTATGGCTGTTGAAAGATCTCCATATTCCTTTTCTAACTGACTCATTCTGTTTTGTTCAACAGCTGCAATGTCCAGATAGGTAGGATAAATTGTATCATTTAATTGATTCAGTTCTTTTTTGATCATTTCTTTTCTTTCACCCACAACCTGTAGGATTTTTGATAATTTGTGACCAAGATGTTGATCAGATGCCAGACAAGTGAGGCAGACAGGAATGTCACAATGTCTACAGTACATCTCACATCGCTCTTTTTCATGGGAGGCACATCTAGGGTAGAGAGGGCTCGTTTTTCTGGATTGAAATTTGACCACTTTGTGATCCATGGTTTCATCAGTTGATATGTGATCTCCTACACAGGCCCTACATAGGTTGACGAGGCACGTATCGCAGTGCATCTGCACTATAGTAGTCTCACACAGGTCACATCGCATTATATCTTGGGCACTGTTTCGAGGGTCCATGGCTAGTGTTTGTTTCTGAAAATATAAGTTTTAGTTAAATACTTCATATCTCTCTGATTGCCTGAGATCCTGAGATCCAACATTGTAAAAAAAGATCGGGAAATTCCAAATTAATGCAAATGTAGCCGTATTCCTCTGAGGTAAACACAGCATTCAGGTACATATAATCTGAATTAGGGGGTTGGTGTGGATGTGTGAGTACAAGGAGCCTCCCATAAAGTTTTCTCGAACATAACATTTTACTTTTAATGAAAGACATATACAAAATGTTTATTGAAATGCAAGTACTCCAATGTTTTACCTTCAAATTCAAATATTCTTATCACTGAATACATACACATCTTTGAAAAATTTACACATCAGGTGGCTAAATCATCATATTGACCTCAAAAGCAGCAATAATGGTCTTCACTACAGTAATCAATCATGACCTTACGTACAATTTCTGAGACTTAATTTAGTGACATCTTGCCCTCAAAACATAAACGCATTTTTGTTTATGGATTTCAGTCATGGAATTTCAATCCTCATAGTTTAATGTGTTCAAAGTAGAAATACTGCCTTTATTTTCACCGAATATACCAGTAATTCAAATTAACGTATTTCCATTAATTTAAGTTGTCGTATTTCGTAAGATGTAAAACATAAATGAACAGAGTTGTATGCTAAAATTAAAAAAAATTTAATCAAAATCACATATTTTGTAAAAAAAAAAAAAAAAAAAAAAAAAAAAAAATCACAGGAAATACCAAAACATTAGATAATGTATAAATGTAGACACCAGCTTGGTATTGATCTTACAGTTTATTTTTTAATGTCGCAATGTTGTGGGAAAAAAATACTCATTTTACTTAAAACCGTTATCATCAAAATGTTTTCGTAAATAAAACTAAATACATGTATATACTTTAGTATTTTAGTTAAGGCCAAAGAACAATATTTCATAGATAAATTTAAGCCTTAACTAAACAGATAAATATCGATCTTGATTGAATCAATTACTGTTAATATTGATTTTTTTTTCATATAAATTATTGATTATAATTGTGTAAACATGTTTCATTTACAGTAGTGTCAAGTCTATTTATTTTGGCGCTTTCTTCGAACATTTTTTGCGCCAACTTTTGACGTTGTCCTTTAGCTATGAACTCATAAAAACGACGTTATCATGTCATGTTGCTATTGTTATTTAAGGAATATTTACATTTGCAAATGTTTTCCTTTTTATTATATAGCTAATAAATAAAATCTAATAAAATATAACCAAAAATCTAGAGAATTTTAACGTTCAATTTCTTGACGTTTTATTGAACGTTAACTTTGTATTACGAATATGAGTATGCCCGAAACATTCCGAATACGAGCGTTCAATATCGAACGCCCCGTTGTAAACAAAAAAAGTCGTCTGGTCAAATTCTCAGAGCTAAATTAAAGAAAGGAAGTGGTATCTAGGTAAGATGTGTTTATTTTTCACACAAAAATGAAATTATCTATTAAAATATAGTACGTATTAGATCCATTAATACCTAAATAAGCAAATCATATCGCTCGGTAGGGACATCGGAACGATGTGATATTGAACGCTAACAGGACAGACGTTAATTTGAATACCGATACTAAAAAATCATTAATTTGAGGGTTTTTTTTAGTTGAAATAATTATTATAAATTATGTGTAAATGTTTTAGCTATATAATAAAGGAGTTATTGAACTTATATTGGTGAATATTGGCACTCGTTGGCTGTTCAAATGCACTCGCAAGCTCGTGCATTTGAACAGCCAACTCGTGCCAATATTCACCAATATAAGTTCAATAACCCTATAATATAACACTACCGAAAGCAATGCGTATCTATAATTAACTGTATAAATATAGGTAAGAGGTCATAGATGTGCGTAAGGATAAACGTTCGACGTAATT